CATGGTTAGTGGTTAAGCTTTTTTCCTACTTTTTTAAAGAATTATTTTATTTAGCTTTATTTATTTATTTACTTACTTTAATTTGACCAGTGAGGAACAGAGTGAGAGTGAGAGAGTGAGAGTAAGCCACCAGGTCCAGGACTTGAACCGAGATCAGCCACATGACAGTCCAGCATCCTTAACCACCATGCCACCTGCCGGTTCCTATCTCCTTTTTATTTTTAAATAATTTGTGTTTAACTTTTTATGTGTTTTGACAACAAAACCTAACTTTAGTTACCTTTCTTTTTTTAAAAAAAAAAAGAGAGATTTTTGCTATAGGGTGTGTGCATTCACCAGAGACACAGATAAAGTAAGAAATCACTGCCCTGGGGTGATGGCCATGCCACAATCCCTTCTCCTCCACTTTCCTCTAGGGATTTTGGGCACACATACACCATGCGTCCAGTGTGAGTCTTAAGCTACTGGGTCCGGGACTCGAACTGTAGTGGGCCATGTGGGAGCCCAGCACCACAACCGCTACGACACCTGCTGGCCCCCTTCGATTGCCTTTCAACTTCTGCAAGCTCTTTACCTAATCCTCCTAGGCATCGATAGCCCTAAAAGTGGTAGAGGTGGGGTACACAACCCATGCTCTAGATACTCAATCGATGTGACTAATAAACCAAATGAAAGCGTTTAACCACAACCCGAGGAACTCGGCTTTAATGTAGCAATTTCCTTATATTTAGACCACCGTAGTTATCTCCCACGCTTCCTGTTTCCCTTTTTCCCTCCATTCATCCCCATGGTGTAATATTAACACCAATTTCCTTGCTCCTTAACTATCAATGGCTCCTCACAGTGAAAACTCCTTCCCTTGGCATTGAATGTTCTTTATCAACGAACTAGGAATTTCCTAACTAACAATAGTTTCCAGGAATGGGAATTGTGAGAAGATACGATTTTCCCCTGGAAGAACTCATACATAAGCCAGGATACCTCATAACAGATGATAAAAATAGCAGTTGGTCTCCAAGGACGGCCTCTTTCCATCCGCAACAAACCACGTCTCTTGCTATTAACTCCTGTCATCTCCTTGAATCTTAACAGGTCCTGTGACCAGCAGAATAGAGAAGGTGACACTGTGATTTTCAAGGCTAGCTCATGAGAAACTTGGCCATTTCTGATTAAATCTCTCAAATACTCACTTAAATATACACCTTTGGGATGCTTTCACTCAGAAAGCAAGTAACATTTTAAAAATTACTACTTGCTGAGTACGGTACAGTATCAAATTTAATGAGAGAGAGAGAGAGAGAAAGTGAGGAAGGAAGCCGCCAGCTCTAGGACTTGAACCTTGGTCAGCTATGTGGGATCCAGTGCCTTTAGTCACCATGCCACCTGCCAGCCCCTAGGTGTCTTTTATTAAACCAGACATAAAGAGATTGGGAAAAATGTAAAATAGTATCACTCCTCTCAATAATATTTTTGTTTTTTAAAAGAGTTATTTTTATCAAAAATGCCATTGATCATATGTAATACGTTTATTATTATTACATTAAATGAATTAATAAATTAGTAACCTTTTTGCTTTTAATTTCTAATATAATAAACACAAGATCTTGGGGCCTTCAATAATGTTTAAGAATGTAAAGGGGTCGATCTTGAGGCCAAAAAAAATGTTTTTTCAGAGAGGTTTTTGCTATAGGGCGCGTGCGCTCGCCAGACAGACAGAGACAGACAGACAGACAGAAAGTGAGAAATCACCCCCCAGGGGGGATGGCCACGCTGCAATCCCTTCTCCTCCATTCTCCTCTCGGGATCTCAGGCACACACGCACAAGCACCTGGTGTTGAGTTTTAAGCCACCGGGTCTGGGACTCGAACCGCTGTTGACTACATGGGAGTCTAGTGACAAAGCCATTACGCTAACTGCTGACCCCAGGCCAAAATTTTTGAATAGTTAGTATTTTACAGGATTCTAAAGTTGACTTCAAAACAAACCATCTTTTAAGGTCCAAAGGAAGACTCACTTTATTCAGGGAAAAAGCCAGCCCTCAGCAGTGCCTTGCTCCTCTAAGCACATATCCTTATTTAGCGCCATGTTCTTGGTACCACTGGCTCACTAATATCAAAAATATCTTGGGCCAGGGCCTGCCGGGTGGCATGGAGGGTAAGGCGCTGGATCCCATGTGGCCGACTGCACAGTTTGAGAACCTGGCAACTTGAAAATCATACCCAGCATGCATGAGTGCATGCCCAAATTCCTGAGAGGAGAATGAAGAGAAGGGATTACACAATGCTATCTACCCTGGGGGGGTGAATTTTTCACTTTCCCCCTCACTGTCTCTCTCTCTCTCTCTCTCTCTCCCCGGGGACTGCACATGCCCTATAGCAAAAACCATAAATAAATAAATAAATTTACAAATATATTTTATTTAAGTTTATTGTTATTACTTATTCATTTATTTTAATTTAGCCAGAAGAGAGAGAGAGAGGGAGAAAGCAACCTGCCAGGTCCAGGGCTTGAATCACAGATGGCCAGATGAGAGTCTAGCACGTTTAACCACCTCGCCACCTGCTGGTCCCAATAAATAAATAAATTTTAAAAAATATATATATATATATCTATCTCATGGGCCAGCCCATGGCCTGATGGTTAAGATGGCCAGATTCCACAGGGCTGACCACACAGTTTGAGTCCTGGACCAGGCGACTTGAGAAACAGATGTGTGTGTATGCGTGCCCAAAATCCCGAAAGGAAGGAGAAATGGAGACCATGTGGCGTGACCATGCCCCATGGGAGTCATTTTTTTTTCTCTTTCCAGCAAGTGCATGCGCCCACCGGCAAAACCAAGAAAAAAATCTCTTTTGGGCATATGCATACTCTCAACTAGGCTCTGCACACTGGGAGGGAAGGCAGCAGCCGAGCCACGTCTGAAACATCTGTCACAGCAGCTGGCTAACACGGCAACAACCATTTTTGAGATTAACACTGAAAAATACGGTAGAGACTCGCCTTTGCCAGAGAAAACTAAGGAAAAATGTCTGGCTGGGGCTGGGGCTGGGGCTGGGAGCTCAGGGATGGACTGGACTAGTGACTCCAGGACACGTAGAGGGCTGCTACCGTGGCCCCGTGGCCAGATACTGCTGAAGGACAAAGCACATCAGTTCGACCCAGTAGCTCTCGCTGCTCAGAGAGAACGTCCACGTCGCCCCTCTAGTGAACCTCAGAAGTCTCCCCAATCCCTCCTCTCCCTCCCTCACATTCCCTTCAGAGAAAAGACCTTGGTATGGGTTTGAGAACAGGAGGAGCCCCTGCCTGAGACCTTCCTGAAAGATCTACAAACAACCTGACCCCTGCAGACTGAAGACACAGGGGCTCACCACCCTGTTAGCAACAGGAAAGCCTGCAGGGTCTCAGAGGCAGAGGAAGGGAAGTGAAGCCCCAAACAGCTCCTGGAACCACTGAACTTCAGAGGTTAAAGCCAACTGGACAAGAGGCCCACATTTCCCCTGCCCCCAGCAGGGACCCACTGTAACCCAGCCTCCCAAATCAGGACAATGAGCGTCAGGTTCCCTAGTGCTTCCCTTCTGAAGTCTGTGCGACCTGCCGGGCATCCTGAGAACAGAGAAGCTGCGATGGGAGAGCCAGAGCATTGTTCAGACTCCAGTGAGGACCCACTACCCCAGCAAAGATGGAGGAAACAACCCCATGTATCAGGGCCAGCTCTTATCCATGCCAGCAAACCACTGACCCCTGAGGTGGGGTCTGGCTCTGTTTTACACTATCGGCATTCTCCTAAGTACCTTCAACATAGTCAGCATTCAAAAATATTTGTTCCACAAATGAAAGGAACGACAGACAACATCTTTGTGGCCTGGCACCGCTATGGGCAGAGAAGAAATGTGTTCATTTATTCATTCAGCATTTAATGACTCAGTATCTGTCCTGTGCCAGGCACTGTCCTAGACATCACAGGAAACAAAATAAGTTCCTGTCCTTGGGGAATTTATGTTTTTTTTTTAATTATTTTACTTCATTTTATTCATTGTCATGATTTAATTTATTTATCTGAAGTTGACCAGAGAGAGAGAGAGAAGGAAAGTGAGAAAGCAAGCTGCCAGGTCCAGGACTCGAACCAGGGTCAGCCATGTGGGAGTCCAGCTGCCTTAACTACCACACCACCTGCTGGCCCCTGGATTTGAAGTTTTTATGAGTACAAAGGTAAAAATCTCCATGCTCCTGAAAATACTGCATAAGCCAAAACCATTCAGTAATCATTTAGTGAGTGTCTACTAGGCCAGTCAATGGTATGGTGGTTAAGACAGGTGAACACACGGGAACCAGCAGTTAGCGTAAGGGCTATGTCGCTGGCCTCCCATGTAGTCGACCGCAGTTCGCGTCCTGGACTCGGTGGCTTAAAACTCACACCAGGCGCATGTGAGTGCGTGCCCAAGATCCCAAGAGGAGAATGGAGGAGAAGGGATTGCGGCGTGACCATCCCCCGGGGGATTTCTCGCTTTCTGTCTCTCTGTCTCTCTCTGTCTGTCTGGCGAGCGCACGCGCCCTATAGTGAAAACCTCTCCAAAAATTAAAAAAAAAGACAGGTGAACACCACATGGCCAACTGTGTAGTTCAGGCCCCAGACCTGGCAGCTGGATAACTCGCTGGGCACGTGCGCGTACATAACCAAAACTCAAGAGGAGAACAGGGGAGAAGGGACTGCAGCATGGCCATCCCCTCTGGGGGGAGTGCTTTCTCGCTTTCTCTCTCTTTTCTCTCTGTCTCTTGCAAGTACATGTGCCCTGTAACAAACTGAAAAATAAAATAAAATAAAGTAAAATTAAAAAAAAAAAAAGGTGACTATTATGTGTAAGTAGCAGATTCCATGACAGGCATCTGGGTCTTGGGATTGAGCACTAGGAAAATTATTTTATCTTCAAGGAGCAGGTCCTAAATCTGGATCCTACACGAGTCCGTTATCAGAGACCCCTGAGTAAAGGAAATGGGATTACCTCTTCAGTGCATCGGTCTTCATCTGTCGGTGAATAAAAGCCACTGCGTGGGTACTATGTGCATGCCCAAAACACCACGTGACACTGCAGGACAGAAAGACACCCAACATCTTTAGCCAAAAGGTACCGGGGGTCCAAAAGCAACTCTACTGAGTTACTGAACACCTGGGCTCAGAGTGCCCCCAGCGGTCTGACTGCCGCCCAACCCCCACACTCCCACCTGGAGGGGTCTACTGTACTGCGAGCCTGAGTCAGCAGATGTTCCCCATCCTGGAAGCAGTCTACTCACTTCCCGACATGCAGACGCGGGCTGTGCTCATTCTAACAGGGTGGGGCAGAAGGAACCGGCAAGGTGAGGGAGGAGATGGTGTACAACACCCCACCTTGGCCCCGTGGGTGGGTGTTCACCAATGGAGATGCTCTGAGTCATGCTTGACACCCCGATCACCAGCCTGCTGAGTTAGGAAGGCTAGGGACCATTTGCCAAGGAAGAAGACCCACATGTCTGAAATCTGATGCAAAGGGCCATTCACGCTCCACCAGGCTCAAGCCAAACTGCACGCTCTCCTCTGACCCTGAACCCAGCTGCAGCAGGCAGCCTCTCCCCAACTCCAAAGGCAGAGGAAAAACGCTCAGGGACATCGCACTATCTCCAAGAAGCAGCCACTGTGCAATCTGGGACAACATGGCACAGATGGGGGATGGGGCACAGGGCTGCTGATACGACACACGTGAGGGCCCGACAGGACGAAGTCTGTGGAGAGACTGAGCAGGGAGGAAGCGGGAATGTTTCCAGTACGGACAGTGATCGGCAGTGAGCCTGGGTCCTGGCATTTCTAGCTCAAAGAGACACTGGAGATGGGCACCACAGTTCAGCTTCCCAGCCTGCACAGAGTGCCCGGGTGGTGGGGTTCGGTGCCAGGATACGGCTGACGCCATTAGAAGTGACAGGTCCAACCCTTTCTGAGAGAGAACTGTACCGTCCCAGGACACGCCAGGATCTGCAAGCCCTGAGGACAGCTTGCTCAACGGCCAGGACAGCTGCATTCTGTCCAAAGCAGAGGCTGACTTACTAACCTCACTTCCCAGACCAGTGCCTGACACTGGCCGTCCTCCAGCAGGCCCTCTGCAAAGAGGTCTACGGGACCACAGGTGGCAATGGAAGGCTGGGCAGAGGCGATTCTTCCTGAGGAGGCTGGGGCATGCACAGAAAAGCGGTAGTGAGAGGCTTAGAGAGAGGCGGCCCAACAGAAGGGCGGCCAGCTCACCACACTAAGGAGCTGAGAGGCTACACTCTCCGCTACACAGCCCTGCCAGGGGCCTTCTGCCCACACCGCGGGAACAGGCGAGCTGAATGGGGACCTGGTGAGTGATCATCACAGTAACCCATTCAGAAGGGGACAGACTGGACAAGCTATCCAGCCAGGGCTGCTGGTGCCCAGGCTGCTCCACAAGGTCTGGGCTTGACCTGCTCTCCAGCCCTCTCCCCTGCCACCTCAGTAGAGAGCATGAGCCCAGCTGCAGCGAGCCGCCCCTTCCCCCGACTTCAAAGGCAAAGCCAGAGGTAAAGAGCCAGGTAGAATCCTTCCTGGGAACCTGGGTCTGGCCCAAACACATGACCTCAACCTCTTAAAAATCACCCCTGAAAGCCCTAGAGGGATATTTTTCATAGGAACAAGGGGCTCCTTCTAGTCCGTCCTGCCCAAACCCCACTCCCAGGTGCTGCGGAGCAGGGGCACAGGGGTCAGTGGAGAGGGGACAGGCTCAACGGCAGGCCACCAATGCATGGCCCTATTGCCTTCACAGAAAGCAGTCAGTGCACAAGAGGAATACAAAACATTCAGGTCTAGCTGGGCTAGTTCAGTCGGCTCTCCATGACAGCTCCTGAGGTTGCCAATTCCATGTCCAATTCTGGCACAGTGACAGGAAGCACAGTCCTCAAAAGAGGAGCCCTAGAAACCTGGAGCCAGGTGAAACCACGGACCTGCATTTCTAAATGTGAGAGCGGGTCATGCTTCCTGAATCCGCCAAAATCCGACTGGGCAGACAGAGAAGAGAGTTATTTCCTGAAGATTTCTCTAGGGGGACCACTGCCAAATAAACGAGCTCCAATTGAAGGCATTTGGAAAGAACTTTCTGCTGGCAAGGGCGTTAAACACGCGAATGCCCCAGGCGGGCACATCTCCAGCTCCAGAGACGATCTAGTGACTGGCAGCAGAGAACTGAGTCCCTAACAGGTCAAACGAAGGCAGCCCCATAACCTACCCAGGTAGATTTCAACCTGATCCCCCAAGCTTCACCTGGGCGAAGGGAGCACAACTGCAGTGCCGGCCTCCCTCTTAGGTTTACAAGAAATTAAGTTCCCCAGGAAACGGGAGAAGAGACGAAGACTCTGAGCGAACTTGTTCAGTGACCGACGTCAGGGGCACATGCAAGCGGTCAAAGACGTATAAGAGAAAACCAGCAGCTGGTTTGAGCCACCAACAATAAAAGAAGCCTGCCAGGCCCTGGGGTATCAGGTCAGCATTCTATTTCAAAACTCAAAACAGGGGGGAAAAAAAAAAAGGCTCAGAGCCAGGATAGGGGGAAAAGGAAGAGGACCACAGGTATTCTCTGGGGCAACGCTTCTGCAGACTTGCATTAACCCATTCTTTGGAATGGGTTCAAGGTGCGAGTGGGAGCTGGGGTAGAGGCAGGCTGGGGAATCAGTTTAAACCCGATTCACGCAGCCAGAGTGGAAAGACACAGAACCCTGTTTCCTGGAAGGGGAAAAGAGTTGGATGAGGCCTCTGGCTACCCCTGGCACACACCCAACTCAGCTACATCTCTCCCCGAGGGTTCCTGGAAGTCAACAGACCCATAAAGAGGAAGTTTTACAGCTGAGATTAGAAGAGTGGCCTGCAAACGGGACATTACCCCATGCATAATCTGGCCCGGGACATTCCCCCACACAGACATACCTGTTACTTCACACCTCGGCCCTCCACTCAGTGGGGGGGAGGGGGAGTTGCAACCCCCTCCCTCCGGGGGTATCTCGGCTGCAGGTTAAGGGACAGCAGAGAAGTGCTGTGCAGCTCAGGCTTCCCCCAGAAGCGGAGGCCAAGAACCGGGAGCGGAAACGAAGTGGGTGACAGGAATGCAGGGGACAGGGCAGATGTGAAGGAAATCAGAGAAGGGAAACACAGGGCCTCTGGGAGCCAGGGCAGGAGAGGCTTAGGCGGACAGGGACAGCAGGCACGGATGGAAAAGCCTCACAGCACCCTGAGGAAGAGGATGGGTGACCGGAACGCGGGGAGGGGTCTGGCAGCAGGAGAAGCAAAGGGCAGGAATGAGGGAAGAGCGCCAAGACGGAGGACAGGACGAGGAAGGCAGGAGCCAAGGATACGCCGGGGTCAGAGGAGATCCCAAGGAGAGCTTCACGTAGACAAGGCGGTGGTTTGGGGACACCAGAAAGGGACGAAGGAAGAGGTCAGAAGCAGGAGAGGGGAGTGGACGCCACGACCGAGACGAGACTCAGAGAAGTGGGAGGAGACGGGGCCACGAGGCCCAAGAGGGGGCAGGAGTCGGGTGGAGGGAGGCCCGCGGTTCGGACTCAAGCAGTTACAGGGGTCCAAAGCGGGTGGCGCAGAGGCATCGCGGCGGGGTGCCAGCAGAGCAAACGACGGC